GGCACGTCACTCGAGGTTGGAGCCTAGAAGCGCCCGTAGCGCTACCGAGAGATGCGTAATCCCCGTGCCCGGTACAATTTGTCCTGCCTTGATCTTGTCTTGGAAGTGCGGCCGTTGGAATCCTCCGTGATAGCGACGGTTATATATGTTTAGGGTAGGCGAGGGTTTTTGATCCGGATGGCCGGGTTTTCCCTTGCACCGTTACTGTTTAGAGTCCCTAGGTCTGATCAGGGGTAACCATGCCCCACGGATGGTTTGCCACTTGCGTGAAAAACCAGGGAGGGTGTTCGTGTGTTTGGATACGGACAGGTATTGATCGACCGCAGTAACGGATATATTCGCAGATAGGAACGTAGACATACCATTTTGGGGTTCTTGTGTTTGTGACCCCTGCTTCTCTGTTTTCCGGAAGCACTCTTCTTCTTCTCTTCTCTTGCTTCTGCGTTTCTAATACAAGCGATATTCAGTCTCTCCCTTCCAAGTCGCGGACATATACAACAGTTTCACGATTTCCATTCCACGGATTTTTCCCATGAAGCACCGTGGAGAAGAAAGCAGGCGCCGCATGGTGCTCGTTGAGTTGACGTTCTTCATGGTGGTCCATGGGAACCGCACAATTTTCGTGGTGCTCTATGATGATCCGTTAGGTTTTTCCGTGGCGCACCATGATACCTCTTGTGAGCTTCTTTTTGTGGTGCTCCATGAAAAAAAAAAGGAAACACCATGCTGCACCATAGGTTTCGCCCACATTCCACAGTGCTCCTTGGAAGACTGAAACTTGATAATCAGCAATACAAAAAAAAAACCCAACAAGTCCACTACGTGGAACTTGTCGCGAAAACTGGCGGTGAAAAAAAAATCTACGAGCACGTCTAAACGAATTACGCTCGTTTCTCTCTGCAGAGACCGGGATGTGCCTCAGCATCGCATGGCGCGCGGAAAAATACGCACGCACGCAAAGCATATTTTTCATGAGTCGTTCAGCGCGGTCGATTCGTTAGCAATCAATTCACACCTTAAGCACAGACCAGAGGCATATCTCCAGTTCATCTTGATCCGGCACGAGCAACAATATCAGTAATCAGCAGGCACCTGGCTAGTCGGTAAAGCACATCAACAAACAGGCCGATACTCTTCTGTGACAGAAACATGAGAAGGCGGAAAAACACCCGGGACAGCGAATCACACGCTGTTGAGCCGAAGCGGGGATGACCATCGCGCGCTCTGGAAACATAGGAAGGCGGGGGGGGNGGTACGGCCAGAAAACTAGAGCCTCGTCCCAGTTTTCGAAGACACAAGCAACTAAGGGAAGTATTCCACTTCGTGTACCAATCTCGCTCCTCACAACCGACAGTCTAAGGGTGAGGGGGAACCACTCCACCCAGCCTCCCATGCTGTGCCGAGCTTCAAGAACCCAGGTATGCGTGCACGGGTATACATCTCTCTTTCTTGTGCCCGATTCACAAGATGGAATGATGGTACAGTAGAGGTCCCTGTGTAGTGCTGGTTGAATAGCGCCGGTTGCCGGTATAGTGCCGGTCAAATCTCGCCGCACAGAACCCGCCCTGAATAGTGCCAGACCGGCACTTTTCAGGGCTGCCCACTAAAGTGCCGGCTCGGGCCCCTCTGAACCCCACTATAGTGCCGGTTCAGGCACGCACGCACATGTTTCAACGGCCCTGAGACTGAGATAGGTAAATATGTAAACATATGGATCTTCATTCCGCCGTGACCAAGAGGTCACTCTGCTCCCACCCAAGCCCCAAGCCCCAAGCCCCAAGCCCCACCCCACACACACCCACTCCGCCATTCCGGCCCTCCCGTTATTTGTTCTCTTTCCCCCCCGCACCCAGCGGCTCATGTCTCAGCCGCCGGCTGGGTACGATGCTCTCCCCACCTCGACAGCGGCCGCGCCTGTGACGACACCCGCCGCTTCGGCNAAGCCCCAAGCCCCACCCCACACACACCCACTCCGCCATTCCGGCCCTCCCGTTATTTGTTCTCTTTCCCCCCCGCACCCAGCGGCTCATGTCTCAGCCGCCGGCTGGGTACGATGCTCTCCCCACCTCGACAGCGGCCGCGCCTGTGACGACACCCGCCGCTTCGGCACAACAAGACGGTCTCCCGCCCGGGCCGCCATCATCGGCGGGCAGCATGAATCAAGTACTACAGGCCAACTTTCTCGGGGTGCACAGGCTGAAGGTAAAGCGGATAAAGGGCACCGAGTACACTAGGCAGTTGAGCAAGGTGGGCGTCAAGAGCGTGAAAGAGTCCATTGAGGCCAGGGGTTGGCAAAGCGCTAACTCGCCGTACGTGCTAGTACCTCGTGAGCAGTTGCCAGATGGCAAGCAGACAGTCTGGAATAGCGATGTCCTGTCGTCGCTGGAGGTTTACTGCCTGGATGGCAATCATCGCCTGCGAGCCCTCACGATCTTTTACGGCGGCGACTTCGAGCTAGAGTGCCGGTGCTACCTACATTTCGACGATGCTATCATGGTCAATGCACTGGCGAGAAATGAGTCTGTTTCCCGCACTCCATTTAGTTGGATTGCCACGACGTGTTTCGATCTTCTTGTTGCCTACGTGCATGAAAAAAAGGTAGCCAGATGATGCTGATCTCAGCTGCTGATTCACATCATCAATCACTAAAAAAGGTTTCTTCGTGTTTGACCAATACACTTCTTCAAAACGCACGTACACGCCCATGTACCTCCTCTCATTTGAACCCCGCACGAAAAGGAAGTTGGATGACAAGTTAGATGAGTGTAGCTTGATGAAACCAGCGAGAGTAGAGAGTTGTTCCTTTAGCGTACATCACATGCTTGACCTCCGCCGCTGCTCCCCCCGCGTGTTGGTACATATCGTCACCGGGAAACTACTCACATCGAAGTCATGCAAGATTCAACACTTCACGCAGCGTATCGCCGGAATACATTGCAGGCGTGAACAGCACGACGGGGGCGACCGCTAAGACAACCACGTACGATCGCATCTTCTCCTGCAAGAAAGCGCTGGAGGCTATCATGGCTGCAGAGAACCTCGGAAACGACGCCTCCAAAGTGACAGCTAGAATGCTGTCAGACGCTTACAAGAAGGTGCTCTCTTTTCCAACCTCCGCGAATGATAGATGGACATGTGTCCGTTTTTTTTTTTTTTGCTCCGTAGTCGTCTGCTCAAAAAATGCACGGATGGTGTATCATTGATGTGTGTGTTCGCTTAAAAGACAATCGGTAAATATAAAAAGAATCTCCACACGAAAATGCCGAGACTCGCAATCGTGAACAATAATAATCAACAACAGGGGATACGAATGAAATACAGAAAACTAATATGGGGTATCATGGCACAAAAAACACCTGAAACACCAAGAAGGTAACTCTGTCGAGTATTATGATCGTTGTTTGTGGCACGGTTCAGTGTGAATAGTGCGAATACATATTCATTGTTACACGCTGTCTTTCACTCATTGATATTCTTCCAGTGCATTTGTATTTCCCATGCAAACTCAAAGTACGACAGACTTCATTTGTTTCGTTATTATTTCGCGTTTTCTTGCCTGTCCCGATGTAGCTTTGCGCGTGCTGTTTTGATGGAGAGGGTTAGGCCCCGAACCATATGCTTCGTGGTATTTCTCCCCACGCCCGTACTGTGGCCCCTATTCTAGCGAGTGCCCACAGTGTACACAACGTTCATCCATACACGTTCTTTCCCGCGTTGTGGTGGTGCTATTCTTGTGTCGTATTGCTGTACATTTTTTTTCGCCATACACTCGAAGAGCGGAGACGCCCCCCCCAGCAACCCGAGTCTATGCANAACAACAGGGGATACGAATGAAATACAGAAAACTAATATGGGGTATCATGGCACAAAAAACACCTGAAACACCAAGAAGGTAACTCTGTCGAGTATTATGATCGTTGTTTGTGGCACGGTTCAGTGTGAATAGTGCGAATACATATTCATTGTTACACGCTGTCTTTCACTCATTGATATTCTTCCAGTGCATTTGTATTTCCCATGCAAACTCAAAGTACGACAGACTTCATTTGTTTCGTTATTATTTCGCGTTTTCTTGCCTGTCCCGATGTAGCTTTGCGCGTGCTGTTTTGATGGAGAGGGTTAGGCCCCGAACCATATGCTTCGTGGTATTTCTCCCCACGCCCGTACTGTGGCCCCTATTCTAGCGAGTGCCCACAGTGTACACAACGTTCATCCATACACGTTCTTTCCCGCGTTGTGGTGGTGCTATTCTTGTGTCGTATTGCTGTACATTTTTTTTCGCCATACACTCGAAGAGCGGAGACGCCCCCCCCAGCAACCCGAGTCTATGCAGTCACGAGAGGCTCGTGATAGGACTGAAGGGACTTGCGTTTGCGGCGCTCAAGGAGATGTCGGAGAGCGAGGACAAAGGCGTGGACATGCAGAGTTTGCCAAAAACCCTTCTCGACTGTGAGGCTGTGCTGAAGTTCCCCTTTGGGCGCGACTTTGAACAGTCGCTCCTCATCCACATCCTAGCAAGGTATCTTATTGGTGCGTCAAGCACACAGTAGTGAATGAATGGTGCTCGTAAGTGTTTTCGTGTTCTCGCTCGTGATATGTTTTCGACGAGTGTTAGTCTTGCGTTTGTTTCGTACATAGCTGTTTGGTAAGTTGGGTATCCTTTAGCTCTTTACATGCTCCTTGCAGGTGCCTGCAACATCTTTGGTATCCATTCATCCCAAACAAACGTTCACGCTGGTCGTACAACCCGGCAGGTTCAAGTCCAATGACCCAGGGAAGAAGATGCCCGTCAAGAGTGACCTCCCCAAGCTAAGGCAACGTGCCCTCGNGCTGTGCTGAAGTTCCCCTTTGGGCGCGACTTTGAACAGTCGCTCCTCATCCACATCCTAGCAAGGTATCTTATTGGTGCGTCAAGCACACAGTAGTGAATGAATGGTGCTCGTAAGTGTTTTCGTGTTCTCGCTCGTGATATGTTTTCGACGAGTGTTAGTCTTGCGTTTGTTTCGTACATAGCTGTTTGGTAAGTTGGGTATCCTTTAGCTCTTTACATGCTCCTTGCAGGTGCCTGCAACATCTTTGGTAACCATTCATCCCAAACAAACGTTCACGCTGGTCGTACAACCCGGCAGGTTCAAGTCCAATGACCCAGGGAAGAAGATGCCCGTCAAGAGTGACCTCCCCAAGCTAAGGCAACGTGCCCTCGAAGCTGGAGATTTACACAAGCACGTGACCTCCGTCATCCCGTTCTATCACTGGAGTCCCGAGTTCCACAAGTAAGTGAGCGGCTTGTGATGCGTTGACTTTTGTATCGGTACTCGGGTGGTGGGGTGCGTGGCGTGGTTCTTCGTGGCGTCATGGCAGGGAGTGCGAACATCAGGAGGGAAGAATGGGGAGCGGGAAGCTTTGCAACGCCGCTCGACGCGCGCACGCGTACCTCACGAATAGTCCGAAACCTTCCCAACATCTCCTATCCACAGAAATCCGGGTCGAACCGACAGAAAGTTGCGTCCCCCTTAACGGCGTGCGCGCAGGGCGCTTTTCGCGATAGTGTACGGTAGGCACACGGACAGGAATACTAATTAATGAAAGTTCTTTTCTTTTCGGAACTCAGCGTGAAGGGATGGTTACTACAGTGCAATGCAAATGCTGCAACCGCTAGAAGAGTACTCTCAGCATGAATGTCCCTTTGTAGGGGGTGAAGGAGCAGGAGGAGGGGCTTTTTTTTTTTCGCTGTCACGACTACTTTTCTTTTTTTTAGATCGACTGATATATGACGCAGCAAGGTTTGTACACTGAAGTATGCTGCTATACTTACACACTGTCTGTTGACTTCTTTTAAGCTCGGCCCGTTGTAGTAACGTCTACATACTGCACTGTTTCTCCCTCTTCCCTCGTTCTCTCCGCATCATGAAATCGCTTTAAATCATCTTATTCTGTGTATGTGCATGGATCCGAGGTCAAAATGCGCCAAGTGCGGCATCCTTCACCTAGAGTCGTGCAACGTCATCGTCAAAGGAGGCGAAGGGGCTGTCGTATGCAAGGACTGCCCAGACGACATCGACTCCGGTGATGACGGAGCACGCGCTACAAAGAGGCGGAGGAAAGGCGAGAAGGTGACGTTGTCGGAGGGCGACAGCACTGTGGAGGTGGATACGAGCATGTAAGGACCCAACGTCTCCTTCTTGGAAGTATTATTATTATTATTATTATTATTGCCCTCCGACAATTGAAGATGTTAGCACTTAAGTCCTAAAACGTTTCACTCAATGTATACCCCTTACTACTTCTATCTTCATGCTCATACTTGTACGAATACGATATTGTACATGCACGTCATGTTAGTACGTACCTACCAATGCCGAACTTAAAACTGAAGGAAATCATAACATTATTGATTGAATTCAACATTTCCTCCGTTCTCCTGTTACTTCTTTTGTGAAAATGCCAAAACCTTGTCTCTCCAAAACTCTGACAAGAAGTTCCTGTCGTTGAACCGAAATCTTGTGAACATCATCTACTAGTAAAACGACATTTCTTTTAGTGTATGTGATGTACCTACCAAATGCTTTGTAACAACAATACCTACGCTCATAAGATAATCCATTACATTCCTACTATTACAGTGCATCGACACTACATCTTGTCGGAGTTGTTGTGGTTTAGCTCAAGCAATGGTGATGAATGTCAGCAATTTGCCTCAACATACGATATTATTTATGCGGAAGTTTAAGCTGTAGCCTTCGACGAAGAAGGTCCCCTTGAGATCCTCTTGTTATTGTTCACTCCCCTCGCCCTTGTTTTGACAGTGCTCTCGGTACGGTGTTGTTTTTTGGACGTCCTTGCCAAGTGCTCTTGTATTCACGCGTTCACGCTGGGTGCTACACCCTAACTGCATGATNTACTCTTGTATTCACGCGTTCACGCTGGGTGCTACACCCTAACTGTTTGATGACCGCCCTCGTAACCACCTTGGCCCTGTGTACCTTGCCCAACCCTACCTCGTTTCGTGCAGGTCGCGGAACACGGTTGTCCACGCAGAGGAACTTTTTTCCTCACGAACCAACACGTACACGGGCGGCTCTCCGCTCAAGACCCACAACCGCCCCAAACTTGCCATCGTCGACCTCACGCGCCACGACTTCTTGCTCAAGGACACGCCGGCCTCTATAAACGTCTTGAAGAATGCTGTTGACGGCCTTATGGAGGTGTTAGACGAGAAAGGAACGATTGCATGTGCCATCCCTCGTCCCTGGTATTTTAAAGGCAACCTTCTTGTGGGTGCGTGAGCTTTTCGATTCGTGCCTAAAGGAGTATATTGTGTGTTATTGGTGATACAAGTTGCTTGCATTTCGCCGCAAGAAGGGGCTGAGGATATTCCGTTCATTTGTAGTGGGCGTCAAAACGAGGAACAAACTGTTTCATGTTGGGTTTGTGGGTGTTTGAGTCGTCCTCATTTCGTCTCGCCATGGTATCGCGTGGCGTGTGGTTTGCCGATAAATCACTGATGATACCTTGTCACTTCCTTCCGCAACTTATTGCGTCTTGCAGGGGCCTTCAAAGAATTCCCCGACAAGTTGTTCATCGATCCAACTCCGGTCGTCATCTCCTACCAGAGCGTCTCTGGAGGCGCTCAACACAAGAGCCACGAGCTGCTGCACCGCAACCAGCAGGAACACGTGCTGATGGTGCATCGCGCACCTCCAGCTGCAGGTGGCACAGTGAACTTCACGTGCAACAGACGTGTTGTGGTGTCGGATGTGTTCGGCCACTCGCGAGGCAACATTCCACACGCACGACATGTCATCCAGTTGGAAAACTTGCCCGCCGGGGCACGCAACGGGAGCTCGCGGACGTTCTTTCCTCCGACCGCTTCGCAGTATTTCATCGCGAGGTACGGAGTAAGTTCGCGGCAGGTTAGTAATGTCACATATGCACGCCAACTTTGAGGGCAAAGCTGGCGCTCGTAGGGCNGTAACAGACGTGTTGTGGTGTCGGATGTGTTCGGCCACTCGCTAGGCGATATCTCACACGCACGACATGTCATCCAGTTGGAAAACTTGCCCGCCGGGGCACGCAACGGGAGCTCGCGGACGTTCTTTCCTCCGACCGCTTCGCAGTATTTCATCGCGAGGTACGGAGTAAGTTCGCGGCAGGTTAGTAATGTCACATATGCACGCCAACTTTGAGGGCAAAGCTGGCGCTCGTAGGGCGTATTTCAATGTTATGCTCTCCTCAACGCGTGTACTTGCTTCATCGGCTTTTTCTCTGTAATCTCGGATATCGTGTGCGACGCAAACTGATTGTTCTTTTCAACAATCCTCCCACCCGCGATGCGATTTCGAACTAGGTTCACCAACGCCGGCGACACGGTGCTAGGAGTTGGCGTCGAAAGTACAACAGTCGCAGAGGATGCCATCTCACGGGGGCGCCGGGTCGAGTTTTACGTGACGGATGTGTCCAAGCGCGCTAGTCTGCAGGCGAAAATCAGCTCGAGCTTTCACAAGGCGCACAGCTCGGGCATGTTCCAGGTGTGGACGTAGCTTCTCGGGGTATGCGGCTTTCACCCGTTTGCTTTTCTCCGCGCAGATGCATCTAACCCTAGTTTGAAGGCCCACCCTGTGTGTGTGTGGTACGATGGGCTTCAGGTGCTCATCATCAACCCTCTGGCTTGTACCTGTGCGTATCAATGTTAGCCTCAAACCCTTGTCACCACCTCCGTATTTACCGCCGCCTCCGCTTCTTATGTCGCGCAAGAACGAAGCACGCGTGTGGCAGCAGCGAAGTTGATCGAATGTTCTGATTGGTGACAGTAGTACTGTGGGACAGCACACAGCACCGCACACAGTGGAAACTGCAAAATGTTTGGTCCGGATACCCTTCTTGTGTAGCACAGCAGCACACAGCAGTATTTTCGCCTAGTCCTGCCAGCACAGCAGCACATCTCGAGCAGGATAACTGGAAAGTTTTGTCCTAGTACGCCCAGCACCCAGCACTAAGTAGTGAAGTGTTTCGTGACAGCGGGTCGGGTGGTGCTTTTGAGGGCTTGCCCCCGCCAAAACCACCCCTCGCTCCGTGCAATGAATTTTTTGGTCGCATGGCACCCCCCGGTGCTCAACCCCAGGTAATGTACGGTTTAAGAGGTATGGAGCCGAGGTTATTCAGACTTCGCCGATGAGGTTCGTCACCAGTGCTACGTGGCGCGTCGTTCATGTTCGATTGGCGAGTTTGTTGATGTTCTGCCCCACCCGGAATGACTCTGAAGCCCTTCCCGACTACATCGCTTTATCCCACTGTACCCGCAGAGCCGACGTGGAGGGAAGGAGGTTGTGGTCGGTCCAAACTGCTTACCTGCTGGCCTTCCGCCGTCCACTGTGCCCGAGCGTGTGTCCGAAGCCCTCAAAGCGGCACTGGAGAAGGAACCAGACGTTCCTACGGCATCTTTCACCGTAGCTCAGACGATCGCCAAGAGGACCCACCTCACCCTTCAGGTTTCCACGATCAACAACGAGTGGTTGGCGCAGATTCATGCGCGTCATCCATCGTTGGAAAAGTCTAGTGTACGCGGGACTTCTCTCGGTTTATTTCCGTGTCTTGCGTCTGAAGTGTTCTTGCCCGCAATCGCTGCTAGGAAGAACACCCCGCTGCGTCTTCGAATCTTTCTCGACTAACTGCAACCCTCACACCCGCACGTTCCTTTCTTTTTCTTTTTTTTTTACCCGTCCGTGCAGGGTGACCACCACAGCCCCAAGCTAGTGATGAAGAAGCCGAGGAGAGCCAGTAAGGCGCCGAAAGAGGTGTCCGACATCCCCGTGTGGGGCGAATTGATCGTTTACCCTTCGCCCCAGGCCGCCAAGGATTCGCTGACCCAGGAGGAGGTGGATGAAGAGTACGTTCGTCTCCTTCGAATCGCCACCAACGCTCAGCTTCAGCTTACGCTGGAATCGGGTACAGAGCGGTGCACTCCTGAGGCAGCGTTGTACTTGAGGGTAGCTGCGACATGCCCCGTCTTGTGGGTTAGGTCGGAATCAAAGACAAAGGCCGACCTTGACATTAGCTGTGATATCCCTCAGCGCGGCCTTCGGGCGAACATTCTAGAGACTTTCAGCTCTTCTGGCGACGGAAGTAGTGGTGGTGCGGTGAAGGTCCGTCATGTTCGAAACAAGCCATCCACAACAAGTATCTACAAGGAAGAGGCTCTGTTCATAAGCACGGAATGTCGGCGAATCGTTGGCTCGTTGATATTCGACTCTGTCGTAGCAGGCGTTCAGGACGGGGAGGAGGATGAGGATGAAGAGGAGTGATCAGGCTTTTAAGCATTTGTCGGCGGTGCTCAATATCAACAAACACCAGGGGGATCGTGCGTAGCTCCTAAGATATAGGTAGGTGGCGATTGCTCTCTTTTGGGTATCTGTTTTCGGCCGTGTTCGTGTTCTTCGGCTGTGTTCAACTATCAGGAAAATGGTACGTCGCGATGAACAGAACCCGCTTGGTTTCGCAGAAGCTTTGGGTCACTGTCTCTCTAGGTATTCAGTAACTTGCGTCTTCCCGGCTGTGCAAAACGGGCACCACTCTTATTTTGAAGACGGCACCAGTTCACAAGTTGTACATGTTCAATCTTCATGTACACTTTCGAAGGAGCTATCACTTCCTTCTCCCGAAGTACCCTCCCTCAACACATACACAAGGCGGTGTCGCAATAATTGTGCAGCGTCGAAAGCCTCTGATCAGTCCTGTCTCCGAGGATTTTACTGCTCGTCGTGTTTTTCGCCATGGCAACAACAGGTACTTGGCGTGCTCACCAACGCCTGTATGAACTATTTCTGCCCGCGGTTACCACCCGAAAGCGTTTTCGATCATAACTAAATCCAAAGGGTGAACACAAGACGGGGGTGGTGTTCATCCCCATTTCAAAATTAGTTCCCATTTTTCTCGCAACCTTGTTATTGGTCAGCCGGTTAGCGCGGTCTATGCTAATACTATATTACACACAACACACAAGAGACACACATAACACAGGAGACAGGCACAGAGGAGAGGGTACACGTGCTGCTGCAGACCCGAACAGCTCTACGCAGAGGCGCACCATGCCATGTGCGGAAGGTGACCTGTGCCGCATGCCGGACAGAACGCCACAAGCCCCTAATGGCCACATCCCGGGGACGATACGGCGGGCGGCTCCATGGCGAATGTGGAAGCATGTTTGACGACAGCGAGCTGAACCGCATCTGCAGTACGTGCGTAGCCAACACTGGCAAGCACAAAGCGAGAGCAGTAGAGGGTGCTGGAAAGGGGCAATCTAAACGCCAAAGCACAAGGGGGGAGTAAGAACGAAGCTCGTAAGCGGCTGGACGTACACCAGAAGGTCGAGATCCTCAAGCTGGTGGATGCGAATCTCTCTCAAGGAGAGATAGCAGATCGCATCGGGTGCTCGGAAGGGTTGATCCGCAAAGTGAAGGCCGTGCGGGAGAAGGTGGAGAACTAGGCTGCTGCAGCAGGCAGCGGCAGCAAGAAAAACATTCGCAAAGGAGATTATCCCAAGATGCGCTAAACTGGTGTCAATCTGCTGTTGTTGCTGCACTTGTTTGTTTTTTCAGAATACTTTTTCCGATACTCATTTTTTCGAGGCCTTCTCCTTCTTTCGAGGTCAGTTTTTTTGTGAATCTGTTCAAGCTTTTCTCTTCTCCTCCCTTGCATGAGACCTTTTTTTTCCGTTTTTTGTGCTCCTGCGACAGAGCTGTCAAAAAAAAACATCCGCACTCACGACTGTGCACTCCAGTATACATACATCACATGCAGCGTGCACGCTTGTCGCTTTTTCCTGTGTATTGAACAAAGTCTTTTCCTTCAGAGTGTACTTGAAACAAACAAATGGGAACAAAACTGGAAAAAAAAAAAGCAATTAGCAGCTTAGCACTATGAACTACGAAGTCCAGCCTGAATGCGCCGCACAATGTTGGATGCACGTAAACATAATATTCGAAGCTAATCATTGGATTATCTCTACCCTCTTGAAACTTGTGATACTTTTTGTTTCACGGCAGGTGGATGTCATTGCTCTTGATCTGCTCGAGAAAGCCCGGAAAGCCAAGATGTCTGTCACACGCGACGTCATTCGAAGCTTCGGCCGTTCCACCAAGGCAACCCTTCTAGCTGAGCCCACAACTCCTGCAGCAGTCAGGGTGAGGCTCCAGGAATTCAAGGACGGCGACAAGTGGGCCAGGAACTTCGTGACGCGCAACAACATTCAGAGCACGAGACTTCATGGCGAAGCTAGCAGCGTCAGCCGCGAGGCCATCGAGGAGGGCATGCAGGAAATCAGGACCGTCTGCGTGAAGAAACCAGCTAGGCTCATCTTCAACGTCGACGAGACACAGGCATCCAGCGGAAGCTTATGCCTAGGCGCACGTACCTTTCCACCTCGGAGAATCCGAAGACGGCGCGGGGCTCAAAGAGCATGTACTTCAAGGATAGCTTGTCTGCCATCATGTGCTGCAATGCAGATGCTACTGCGAAGGTTGACATGGCCATCATCGGGAAGGCAAAAGAACCCCGTCGCCTGACGAGCGTGACTTGCCCTCTCAAGTACTTCTCGCAAGCTAAGGCGTGGTCTGATACCACTGTGTTCCTCAAGTGGTGGCGTGAGATCTTCCCGTTCGTTCGGCGCCTCACCAACGAACCTGTGCTGCTGCTGATGGACGGCTGCTCGTCTCACGCTGATGTAGCGGATGAACGCGGGCAAGCTACCGTCAAGTTTTGTCCTCCAAACTGCACCAGCGTACACCAGTCCATGGACCAGGGGATCATCGCCAGGACCAAGTTCATCTACAGGAAAGAGCTGCTCGATGTGAAGACATCAACCATGTTTGTGGCTGATGTTTGCGGCCTACGCCACTTATTTATCGGGTGAGACTGTTTTGGTGATGTATTAACTTCACGAGAGGTAGACGACCGTCCTTCACACGGACGAAAGAGGGAGTGCTCAAAGAGCGGCTCCCACAGCAAGGAGGGGCCCCGTGAATCATCGCGGTGCCCCCTATCAAACGGTTATCTTACCAGTCTGCGTGACACAAAATCATCCAGCACATGTATCCAACAGCAATGTTCGCAGACTCACGAACACCCTCCCTGGTTCTTCACGCAAGTGACTAACCATCAATTGGGCAAGAACGCCCCAGGATACATCAGAAAATACCAACATGGTAATATATGGAGGGGAAACCCGGCGTCCGGGCAAAACCCCTCAAGGAAAACCCTACCACCACAAAAAAACGTCGCTATCACAGCGGATCACAACGGCCGCACTTATTAAAAAGGCCAAGGCGAAGACAAGAACGCGAGGAACTACGTTCCCCCGGACGATGGTCTCCCAACGCCCCCTACTCCTGCGATTGGTACACAGACCGCAACAGTTATGCGCCTTTCCCTGCATGGAAAACATGGCCTCTCCCAAGTGCTACAAACTTCTACAGCTACTCCGGCAAATTCATCAGCTTGCGCCGGTGATACTGCAGACTGGCCCTGCTAAGGGCCTTGGTGAGGAGGTCCGCGTGTTGCTCCGTTGTCGGTCTCTGCGTCTTGCTACCATGGCTGACTACGGTACCTCCGACCGTCGTCGCCAACCCTGACACCGAACGCCTATCCTCCGTGCCGGCATAGCTAGCGTCTACGTACACGGCAAGCCCTAACCCCTATCCCCGTTGGTAGGTGATGCCAAGGTCCCTCGTCCCTTTCATGAAGCCGAGGATCTTCTGTATGGCATCCCAGTGCCGCTTCGCCGGGGCGTGGGCGTGGCGCGCTACCGCACGCACGGCGAACGAGACGTCTGGACGCGAGAAAGTCGACACCCACATCATGCTGCCGATGGCCTCCCTCACCGGCCACTCCCCTCCTTCCTCATCCTCTCGCTTCGGCCCTAGATCGGCACCAGGGGTAGCGGGGATGCGGGAAGTTGATTTCACATCGAAGCGTTCAACCATGCTGTCGATATACGCGGTTTGGGAGATTCTAAGAGTCCCAGCATCTACATCTCTCTCGATGGCACACCCATCAAACCATTGACACTCTCCAAGGTTTTTGGTGGGAAATTTCTTGTTGAGAGAAGCAAGCAACTCCTCGCAATCCTCGTCAGACCCAGCCACCAAAATGTCATCCACATAAATCACGATAATCATCACCACGACTTCGTCTACCATCTTGCGGAAAACACACGGGTCCGCCTTGCATTGCTCGAACCCGTTCTCGACTAGCGTATCAGCAGCGTGGTACCCCCACTGCCTACCGCTCTGCTTCAGACCATAAATCGCACGCTCAGCCTTTAAAGTCTTACGCGATTTGTCCCCGCACCCAGCGGGGAGCCTCAGAAAAACCTCCT